GTTGGGGTTCATCTGAAGTTGATTTTTGGTTTTCATTAATTATATTGACTATATTTCTTTTTATTCCTTGATTTCTGCGATAATTACGGAACGTACCTCGATTATATCGTCCTCGCTGTCCTTGGCCACGTGAGTTCGAGTGGTTCCATGAACTCGATCGCTGCGAGTTTCCGTGGTAGTGTCCTCGCTGTGAAAATGTTTGCCGATTACGCCCGTTGCCGCGTGGGTACCTAGAGTTATAATGAAAATTCCTAGAATAATAAAATTTCTTACTGGACATACCCATCACCTCTCCTGCGGCCGATGATGATGAAGTCTCTTCATCTTGAGCTGCTTGAATGACATCCTTCAGGGAGCTGTAATTTCTAGCAGATATTATTGTGCTGATTGGACGATTTCGTAAGCCATCGGAAAATTGCTTGATCGCTTGTTTTTCATTAACAGTTTTCAAAATATTGTAATATTCGGTATTACCGTTGGCTTGCGATATCGTAAGGTCCACAAATAACTCTGTTATTTGTTTTCCGTAATCAGCAATTGGCATATCATTTTGGCGTAATTTTTGCAATTTACTTTGAATTGCTGCTGCGCTTTTTCTTGGCAACAACTCTTTCTGCATGTCACTAACCAAGTCTTCAACATTAGAGTAATCGTCTTGAAGACGTAATTTAGCAGATTGAGATAATCTACTTTTTAATATGAATTTAATTAAATTATTTTTGCATTCCTATTTTGTTAACAAAGAATTATAATACTGAATATTGTCTACTAATTGTTTTACACTTGTCTCGTCATCTGACATAACAGGTAATAAAGTCAGAGCCGTTTTCAAATCGAAAGTATCCATATTGCTCAGATTTTCAGATTGTACACACTGGGGCTTACACAATTTTATAATATCCTGATATAATGATTCAAAATTCTTACAATAAGTTTGATAAGATGGAATATCAGTAGATTTAATCTTACCTTCCTTTACTTTACTATTAAAATTTATTAACAACTTAGAATAGTCATTAAATATTTCATTGGCCTCTTTAAGTTTAGTATTTAAAACTTTTCCTTCACGTCTACTCGGTCCAATTTTAATTAAATATGTTCTCACTTCTTTTAATTTCTCATATAATTGTTCTAAAGAAATATTCATAACTTACCACCAATACGTAGAATAGAGTATACTATACATAATTTTACGAAATATTTAATGTAATAATAATACGGTTAAATGACGATTAAAGACAGTACAACGAATACATGATTTAATTTAAAATATAAAGTTCAGTAATATAGACTAGAGTCCCAGATTTATGTAGTTGATTTATAAACACATTACCCTTTTTTTTTCACTATTAATAGACACGCACTTTTTTACTCATTTTATATACACGTAAACTCCACTTTTAAACACTGAGCAGCGCCGGTCATACTTTATAATACGCCCTTGGTTGACTTGCCTCTTCCACATTTGTGGAGGGTTGTGGTTGCAGAAAAATAGACCTTCTCAGGGTATTTCTGTTTATCTCTGTGTTAATCCACTTTATATGACATCGCCTATATGTCCGATAGAAGCAATACAGGGACCCCAGTAGAAGTACTAGCACAATGATAGACAGCAAAATATTACTCATAGTCAGGTGAAATTGCAATTGTTCAACTCCTGCCTTATTGCTTCCCACTGCGTTTTGCACAATTACGGTATCTTCTTTAGTCTGTTTACCGCCCATCTTGGATGTTATTTTTCGTTAACTTTTTGTTAAACACGTGTACACAGTCGCGCAGCTCAAGATAGAACGCCATAGCTTGATTTAGTTCATCAGTTGCACATAGAAAAAAATGTTCCACTCCAAATACGGCGAAGGGTGTCATATTCGCGTCGCGAATTACTTCGGCAGGGTCGCCATGTAGGGCGAATGTTAGGAGAGGAGTTAAACAAACGAATGATGATACAAGACTCTCTTTATTGTATTAATAAATTTGATTATATAGGATTATTATTACACTTGTGTGTGTACTTTTATATACCCTTACTACTACTACTACAGCACCATCTATTTCTTTCTTTCTATAAGTAGTCATTTTATCAAATCAAAATTGGTTAACTCTCATGGTGGTACGTAGAAAAGACGCTAGATGGCAGAAACACAAAAATATTATTAAGATGGTTGTCTAATCCCTTCATAAGAATCCATAATTTCAAAACTCACCCATCAATATTATTTTTTTGGGTGTATGCCATTTAGTATCTATTCTACGTACCACCTTGAGAGTCAATCAATTTTTGTTCGATAAAATGACTTTAACCATAGAATGTTACTACATTCTATTTATGATGGCGCTATTACTCAAATGGGATCACTATCTCAAAATTAATTATAAATTAACTAATAGCAATAGAGGTGGAGGAATTTCGGAGTCTGCTGGAGCATTTAAGGAGCAATTAATTGGCATACAGTTTAATTTTAAAAAGTAGATATTTTCTGTTTTATAGCAAAATAAAATTTGCATACTTAATTTTTTTAAATTAATTATAAATTAACTAATAGCAATAGAGGTGGAGCAAATTCGGATTCTGCTGGAGCATTTGAGGAGCAAATAATTGGCATACAGTTTAATTTTAAAACGTAGATATTTTATGTTTTATAGCAAAATTGAATTGTCGATACTTAATTTTTTTTAAATTAATTATAAATTAACTAATTACAATAGAGGTAGAGCAATTTCGGATTCTGCTGGAGCATTTAAGAAGCAATTAATTGACATACAGTTTAATTTAAAAAAGTAGATATTTTATACTTTATAGCAAAATTAAATTTTTGATACTTAATTTTTTTTTTAATTAATTATAAAATAAATAATAACAATAGAGATGGAGCAATTTCGGATTCTGGAATGGAGCATTAAAGGAGCAATTAATTGGTATACAATTTAATTAAAAAAAATAATGTTCTACGCTAACTTCCTTCTGGTTATTTTTTTAAAAATTAATTATAAATTAACTAATAACACTAGAGGTGGAGCAATTTCGGATTCTGCTGGAGCATTTAAGGAGCAATTAATTGGTATACAATTTAATTAAAAAAATTATGTTCTACGCTAACTTCCTTCTGGTTATTTTTTTAAAAATTAATTTTAAATTAACTAATAGCAATAGAGGTATAGCAATTTTGGATTCAGCTGGAGCATTTAAAGAGCAAATAATTGGCATACAGATTAATTTTAAGAAATATATATTTTCTGTTTTATAGCAAAATTAAATTTTCGATACTTAAATTTTTTTTAAATTATTTATAAATTAACTAATAGCAATAGAGGTGGAGCAAATTCGGATTCTGCTGGAGCATTTAAGGAGCAAATAATTGGCATACAGTTTAATTTTAAAACGTAGATATTTTATGTTTTATAGCAAAATTGAATTGTCGATACTTAATTTTTTTTAATTAATTATAAATTAACTAATTACAATAGAGGTGGAGCAATTTCAGATTCTGCTGGAGCATTTAAGAAGCAATTAATTGACATACAGTTTAATTTAAAAAAGTAGATATTTTATACTTTATAGCAAAATTAAATTTTTGATACTTAATTTTTTTTTTAATTAATTATAAAATAAATAATAACAATAGAGATGGAGCAATTTCGGATTCTGCTGGAGCATTAAAGGAGCAATTAATTGGTATACAATTTAATTTAAAAAAATAATGTTCTACGCTAACTTCCTTCTGGTTATTTTTTTAAAAATTAATTATAAATTAACTAATAACACAAGAGGTGGAGCAATTTCGGATTCTGCTGGAGCATTTAAGGAGCAATTAATTGGTATACAATTTAATTAAAAAATTATGTTCTACGCTAACTTCCTTCTGGTTATTTTTTTAAAAATTAATTATAAATTAACTAATAGCAATAGAGGTATAGCAATTTTGGATTCAGCTGGAGCATTTAAAGAGCAAATAATTGGCATACAGATTAATTTTAAGAAATATATATTTTCTGTTTTATAGCAAAATTAAATTTTCGATACTTAAATTTTTTAAAAATTATTTATAAATTAACTAATAACAATAGAGGTGGAGCAATTTCGGATTCTGCTGGAACATTTAAGGAGCAAATAATTGGCATACAGTTTAATTTTAAAACGTAGATATTTTATGTTTTATAGCAAAATTGAATTGTCGATACTTAATTTTTTTTTAATTAATTATAAATTAACTAATTACAATAGAGGTGGAGCAATTTCGGATTCTGCTGGAGCATTTAAAGAGCAATTAATTGGCATGCAGTTTAATTTAAAAAAGTAGATATTTTATACTTTATAGCAAATTAAAATTTTTGATACTTAAATTTTTTTAAAATTATTTCTAAATTAACTAATAGCAATAGAGGTGGAGCAAATTCGGATTCTGCTGGAGCATTTAAGGAGCAAATAATTGGCATACAGTTTAATTTTAAAACGTAGATGATATTTTATGTTTTATAGCAAAATTGAATTGTCGATACTTAATTTTTTTTTAATTAATTATAAATTAACTAATTACAATAGAGGTGGAGCAATTTCGGATTCTGCTGGAGCATTTATGGAGAAATTGATTGGCATACAGTTTAGTTAAAAAAAAGAATGTTCTACGCTAACTTCCATCTGGTGATCTGCAGTATGTTTTGTTTAAGTTCTACGCGGACGAAGTTGCGGGTAAAAATAGTCGGTATAAAAAAACATTAAGTTACTATTTTTTAACTTTTATTTAAAAGTGCAGGTGGCACTACAATTTTTGTTATCTAACGGGTTTTATTCATATAATTATTCGCTGCTTAAATAGTAGGAATATTAAGCATTTATTATGCTGTCATATGTGCAATTTATGCACAAAATATTGATCAAACATATAATATTTTGGATGGAGCGTTTGCGCGGAATTTAGGCTAAGAAAACAAAGAAAAGGGCTAAAAATATGTAGCAAAAATTAGCTCCACTCTTATCATAACTCCAAACGTTTTAAGCATACCTGCGTGAGCATTGAGAAGACCGCCGCCATGCCGACCTGGCCTACACCGACCACAGTCACTTTATTGCCCGTGTGATTGGTTTTCTGGTAAATCGGCTGGAATAATTTCTCAACCGTCGCCGTGTTTCCTATCAGCAAAAATAAATTGATTGTACAAAATAAAATATTTTTTTTTGTTAATTAAATGTCTACTCCCACGGTATTCTGAACATAAGCCTACCCCACAGGCACGCTTGGCAGGCGGGTTGGTCTGATTTAGGCATTTACATGTTATATAGGTCAAAAATTAAAAGGTTTATTTATTATTTTAAGTTATTATATCTCTCTTCAATCTATTTATTATGGAATAATATAGTATGTACCTAACATGGGAAATTGCAAATAAATTCTAATGCTGCTTTTCCACCTGCAACAGCACTCCAAAACTATATTTTCATAGACTTCGCGACATCTATAGCTCTCTTGTGTGATAAGTTGCGATAGTATGATTCGCGAGCTTGTCCCGAGATATTTCTTGCGGAAAATATATAATAGTTTCGGAAATTCAAGAAAACAATGTATGTAACGAAAATACAACGGACAAGAATAAAAACTAAGGGAAGGTCATTCAAGGTTATAACTGACTAAATAACCGGCGAAATGCGAGTCGAACTCGTGCATGAAGGGTTCCGTACCATCGTAATAAACGTTTCTAGTAGGGGAGCCCCTTTTAACGGCAACAGAAACACACATTCTGTGAAAATTTCAACTGTCTACCTATTACAGACAGATAGACAGACGGACGGATTGACGGATAGCGGAGGCTTCGTAATAGGGTCGCAACCCTAAAAAGGTATCTACTAAGCCACGAGTGAAAGCTTCACAGAAACAAAATGTAGTAAAATAATTAGCGCTACCGAAACCATGTAGATACTGTGAATCTCAAAATCAAAGATTTTTTCATATTTGCCATAATTGCCACGCTTGGCAGGTGGATTGGTGGAAACCACAGTTTTTACTACTTTTTGTTGTGATGAAAGGCGGTGCTGTCTATCTCCTGTTTTATTTCCTTCTGCCCCTCTTACGACACCCAGGGCATGATATAAGGTAGTACATTCCCCTTTGCCGCCACTACACACTAGTAATAATACAATTTTCTTTTTAATAAAATCAATTTTCAATATCCAAAAGCCTAATATTGAAAATTGTTAGTATAGATAACTAGAATCTAATTCTAGTTATCTTCTAGTTATCTATACTAACAAAGAGGAAGAGGTTTTTTTTTCGTTTGTTTAAACACGCTAATCTCTGAAAGTACTAGACTGATTTGAAAAACCTTTTTGTATATAATAGTCAGATTTTATTTATGAGAGGGGACAAACGAGCATGCGATGCATGCATTCAACACCAGGGGAATTGCAGGCGCGTTGCCGGCCTTTTAAAAATGAGTAGGTTCATTTCTTGAAGGTCCCTAAGTCGTATTGAATTTATGAGGGATATATGTAGTATAGGCTATCTAGCCTATACTACATATACACCTCTCAGCTTGCCTTTAATATTGAATTTTGTTAAGCAAGTCGGAAGAAGGAGCGCTTAAGAACTGCTTTATCTGCGTGCGCTGACGTAATGGTTACTGATACGATACAATTCTCTACAAAAATATTAACCTCTTTCCCATATAAGAAAAAGTTCACGATACCATATGCCTATTTATTATTCATAATCCACAATAAGGTATTTTGTGACAAAAAATATTAAAAATTTAAAAGTGATTAAAGAGCTTTATTATTAGGCATGACATTAATCCTTACGAACGAAAGTAAATTCATCATCAAGACAATTTTATGAAGATAAACTTTGCTTTTTATATCATGTTATTTGGACACATAGTTAAAAAGAATATTAAAATTAAAATAATTCAACACTCGACTTGGTGCGCGAATGACTCATAACCCTAGCCATTCGATGAGAACCGATAAAGCACAGGGACAGACTTTTAAATACGTAGGGATAGATTTAAGGGAATGCTGTTTTCCCATGGGCAATTATATGTTGGCCTATCTAGAACAGGATGCAGGTGAAAACCAATATACTTTAATAACAAAACAAAAGTATCATAAATCAATCAATCAATTAGTGATTTCTTAAATTACACGAAGGTGAAACCGCTGAGCACAGCTAGTTTATTTTATAAAAAATTAAGCATTAAACAGAAGCGAGGGTATTATTTGAAGAAAAAACAAGGATAGCTAGAGCACGATCCAAAAATAAATAAGTTTAATTTTGATTTGCGAAAATTCGCTCTTTAAAAACGGTTAACACTGAATGTGAAATGTTTTAAATTGCGTCTAAAACAATTTTTACTAAACCAACTATGTTAAAGTCAAATTTGCTGCAGATGCAAAATTGAAGTTTTACTAACCATTGGTTATGCAGTGGTTTTCACTATTGTTATCTGTCATCTTAAAAACAAGTTTTTATTAAATCCAGTAAAGTTATCTTCTTAGCAGTAATAAGTATCAAAAATGTTCAGTACTAATTTTATCACACTGTTTACTATCTGAGCGTAAGATGCTGTCTGACCAAATACCCATACGCGTTGCAAAAAATAAATGAATGAAACCTATCCGCTCACGAAATTATAAAGAGTTTTTTGTAGGCTGAAATTGTCAGGGTGGGGAAAATAATTATTTTGCAGTATATATATAATTCATAACTAAAGCTCTAATGCAGTATTGTCGTAAGATAAATAATGCTCTGTATGTCAACATATATCGTTTTAAAGTTGGTAAAAAATTACTTGGCGTACATCCACTCGATAAAATAAAACGATGTGTCTTACCTAGTTTGAAGAGCACCTCCCGCCCTCCATCAATTGCGTGCACTATCCCCGTCACCACTAATCCCAGCACCAATACTGGATCACCTGAAGTGTTCGTCCTTTATTCCTGATTGATTCCAAATTTAAATAAAAGAAAAAATAAAATGAGTTGGCGGTAAAAACTGAGTTGAACAGGAGGGAGTGAATTTTGTAATCAGACTAATTCTTTTTTTTGTTGAAAATCGCTATTTGTTAGGTGCGTTGCCGGCCTTTTAGAAAGGAGTAAACTCTAGTTGCCAGTGCTTGACCACAATCCACCTGGTGGTAAGTGGTGATGCAGTCTTAGATGGTAAATAGCACTGTCTTAGCGTAATAAAAGCCTATTCACTCTTGCCTTGAAGACGCCCAGATTGTATTCGAACGGTAAGATAGACGCCGGCAAATTATTCCACTCCTTTGCTGTATGCATTACAAAAGACGAAGCAAACCGTTTGGTTCTAATGCGCGAATATCGACAACAAAGCGATGAAGACCTATCGACCGCCTGGTTGTCCGCTGTTGAAAAGGAGAGGGAGGAATTAATTCCTGCGCACATTCACCGAAATGCATCCTATAGAATACCGAGAGACTGGCTACTCTGCGCCAGTGCTCGAGGCTGACAAGATTGGTTTCAACCATATCAAGGTCACCAATGAGCATCTTAGCACGTAGAGACGTGTATAGTTTTAATTTTAATTAGTAATAAAATTAAAAATTAAAATTAAAAATGCAAAATGCCACCTGGCAGCGTTGGATTCAGGGGAGAGCCCCTGAATCCAACGCTGCCAGGTGGCATTTTGCATCACCAACCCATATGTGACAGCAGTACTCATTTCATTTCATCACGACCTCCATGCACAGCCTCGGATGTTTGTAAGTGCAACCGCTGTACAAACTTACTCTTCTTTTTCCTATTTTTTCATAAATGGTGGGAGTGAATAGGCTGAGAGAATGGCAGTTGAACGAGGCGTCACACATATAACCTAGGGACGCAAACAGAGTCACAGCATCGATGGTACCTAGCATGGAGATCGCGGGGACGCCCGAAACCCCTGGAAATCGCCACCAGGTACTCTCTTCCGGTCGCCAACTGGCATGATGGAGCCATTCCACAATGTTTCGTAAAATGGCGGGGCGGCCTTTCATGAGTGCCTGGCTGCAACCGTGCTTCGGATCCCACTAACCCCCATAACCAGGCACCTGACACTAAGAAACGGCCGCTTCGCAACCGGTTCTTATGCGCAACGCAACTGTCCACACCCATTCTCCCTAAGAAACGGGTTTCACCTAACATCATACCGGAACACGATTTGCATCATATGGCGGTATGTCTTTTCCAGGTGGGTGGTAACTAACCCTCGGCTGGGCCTCTCACTAGTAGAGGACCAACCTACCACCAGTATGTAGTGCTGCTCGTTTAGCACTACCCAGGGGATACGTGTAGGGAATAACGATCCAAGTAATTCCTACGGACGCGAGCAGCTTCATTCTCCAAAGGGGATCCCTAAATCGTATCAGTCCGGAAAAATGCTCGGTAGTAAATGAATACTAGGTGACACACAGATAAAACCAGTCTTAACAACAGGTGCTTGTGAGTGACCAAACTGCGAGGAGGAGACTACACGAAGTCAACCTTCATGCTCGTAGATCACTTCGAGTTCCAGCTCTTAGAAGAGGAAATCAAACGAAGACTACAATGGGCAAGAGAACATGTTTGTGAACTGGGAGCTTGACTTGATGGCTACGTGGCACAGTGGCTTAGCAATGAGTTGCAATGCTGAGGACCGCGGGTTCGAATCCCGCACGAATTAAGTATTTGTATGGCGTGTAAGTCGTGTGGTCGTACAAGTCGGCAAGGCGGTGTAAGTAAGGTGTGTGCAGGAATTTGTTTTGGTGAAGAATGGACCTCGTTTGGATACAGGGCACTATGACGGCTGAAAAATACCGTAATATTTTTTTATAGGAGAGGGGGCAAACTAGCATGCGGCTCTCCTGATAGTAAGTGACTACCGCCGCCCAGATACAACTGCAACACCAGGGGAATTGCAGATGCGTTGCCGACGTTTTAAAAAGGAGTAGGCTCTTTTCTTGAAGGTCCCTAAGTCGTATCGGTCCGGAAAAATCGCTGGTTCGCTGGCACAAGGAAGTTATGAGGTGCTAAAAGCAATAGTCTTGCCACACAAATGGGTCAAAATTTCCTGTTTATGCACGATAATGCCCGTTTACATACGGCCAGGGTGATAACAGTCTGCTTGCACTAACATGATGTCACGGCCCTAGAAGGACCAG